ATTAATTGCCAGGAAAGCTCAGCAGGTCTGGCAGCATTTGTGGAGAGAAAGCAGAGTTAACACTTCAGAAATTCAATGAAGAGGAGTCACTATCAAATGTTCTTCATTGCCAAATGTGTGCAGTCAGTGGCACCTTGAATGAGCCAGAGGGGAACGCAGTTGACCATTTCTTCTGATTAGAGCTATCACCCGAGGATGTTGACATAAGCCAAATGTTCTGGCAAACAACGCAATGACCTGCCTTTTAGATTTATGTGCCACCAATTGAGAGCCCCTTTATCTGTGCAGGTGCATTGGAAGGAGCCAGAATAAAGCAAATTGAGGACGGTGGGCACTGAATTGGCTTCATCAAGGAGGCAGCTCTTCCTGGAGTAAGCAGCAAGTGTTTGAGGCCACCTGAGGTGGTAATCTGCTCTTCAGATAGATTGAAGTTGAGCCTCAGTTAAACCTTTTGTGGGGAAAGCACCACCAGTGATCCCAGCTCTCTATTTCTTTCCACTTTAATCTCTATATCTGCGTTATGCAACCACAGCACAATATCACTGTCAGAAATGTCACAAATGATCGTTGTCACTTCTAGATGTCCTGTTCCTAAACTTTGGCACACCTCCTCCCAACTCCCCCACCTTGCTGTTATCTACTTAACTCCACCTTCTCAAAGCTTCTATGCTGATCAGAACCACTAAGCACTGAGCCTAAACTAAGTTAAGGTAACGTGATGGAGAATGGAAATATTAGATTTACCAAGTAAACAATTGGATGGAAGAAAGTATCAATCAATGTTTTAAAAAGCAAACAGAAATAAACAATAATCTGAAGCTTAAAATAAGTCATAAATTGAACTGAACCAGCATATATAATATCATTTATTTGGCTACAGGTCAGAGGATGGAAACTCAGCAGTGAGTAACTTGTCTCTCCATGCCTACCATGTACATGACACAAGTCAGGCAGATGAGTGGATGAATGCAGTTCCGACAACACTCAAGGAGCTTGATACCATCCAAGAGACAACAGCCTGCTTAACTGGCACCATATTCACTGTCTTCAACATTCATTCCCCTTCACCACCATCACACAGTGATGGCAGTGTGTGCCATCTACAGGATGCACTGAGCAACTCACCTGAGCTCTTTCAGCAGCAGCTTCAAACCTGCTGCCTCCAAAGGACAAATGCAGAGCATGCACCAGAAAACTGCCACATGCATGTTCTCTTCCAAGCCACACACCTTCCTGGCTTGGAACTATCTTGTCATTTCTTCACTGTCGTTGGGTTAACATCCTGGATCTTCCTTCCTAACCAGCACTGTGGATGTACCGGCATCCCAAGTACTGTAACGGTTTAAGAATGCAGTTCATCACCACTTTTTCATGGGAAACTAGGGATAGAAGTAAATGCAGGTCGAGCTAGTGACTCTCTCATTCGCTGAACAGGCGATGAACTTTGCCTCAACATTAAATACCTCCATGAAGTGCAGACTAATGTCACCTCCTTTTATACTGGTGAGTTTTGAGTCCCCAGAACTCCATAATGAAAATGTTAAGTCAGCTGCTTGTCGTAATGATCATGTGGTTTCCACAAACAGCCAAATGCACCTCAGCCAATCGTGGATGTGGCCATGTTTGAACTAGGCTTTAGCTGAACTTCAAATTTCTACTGCTTATGCTTTGGTATTACCTATCCAAATGCAAAGCACTCACTTTACACTTTAAAATTGTCTCTGTACCCCGCATTGAATAGAAACAGCAAGATGATTTTTCTTGCTATTTTTCAAATTGTTATTTCTGATTTTAAGAGTAAGTTTAACACTTCTTTCCAAATAATTGTGCACTTGAGAAGTCTACTGTTTCTATCCTCCAAATGCATTTTTACTCAACTTTTGATTTTTAGCACTGTGTAAGTAAATAGGTCTCAATTGGGTTAAAATCAGTACTAAGTTGAATTTAAAGGTATTGGTAATTCCCAATTATGAAATACTACTTTTCTTCAGAACATAGCCAGGACTCAGTGACATTTCTGTGGTATTAGCACACAAGGACACTTAATAGTATAATAGTAATAATAGTATAAATCATTTCCAGAAAGAGAAAACAATTGCTTGCTTCTTTTGTAAATGGCAGACTAAAAATATATACAAATTTTCAGAACCTCAAAACTGGAGCTGCTTTGGGAAATGTTTTATCCAGCTGTCTTCATTTTCTTGTTTCGCTTTCTTTCATTGGATGCTAAGTACAAGCTTTTGATTCTGGTATTTCTGACAGTTAGTGTGGCTCTTTAAGAGGTTATTTGAATCATTCCTTAAAAATACTGAGTAAATTTGTGTTCTAAAAATGCTGGCCGTGACTTTTAAATGCCTTGTTTGTAATCTTCACAATTTCATTATTTGCATTTATTGATCTTAAATAAAATCAATTGTGGACAAGAAAGGAACTTATACCCGAGCCAAAAAGAATTTGGTCAGAATTGCTATCTTTCTGGGATAGTAATTACAATTCAATTGATACGAAGCACCAAATTATTCTTATACAGAAGTGGTCTCATGTTAATAGGGGCAATATTGTGAAAATATTTGTGACAAGTAAGAATTTAAGACAGTTCTGATCATTAGTATCTCCTTTTGAAACTAGCAACCTTTTGCCACTCGTAGTGCAGTGTCCTCTATGTTATGACCAACCAGAGATTAAGTGGTTGCTGTGTGGAATATTTCGATTCTATCATCAAGAGCACCCTGAGCACTCTGATTATTATCTGCTGAGTGTTTTCAGTGTGTCCTGTTTTCGTTGCAGGTTTCCAGAATTTGTCCCCATTTGATTTTCATTAACCTTTTTAAATCATAATCATTTTTGTAGCAAGTATTCAACTCAAATTCATAAATTGCTGAAAATAAGATCCTTTTCCTTTAGTGTCCAGTTGAATGAGCTGACCATCCTCCCCAAGCAAAGATTCAAATCCATTAAATAAATCTACTTCAGTTGAGAGTCATTTGACCTATTGACTCACTTTGATTTGTAAAATATCATTGATAGTCAAGTGACAAATATGCTTGTTACTGACAGATATTCATTTACATTGTAGCTGCATTTCAGCTACAAGCTAAGCTGAAAACTATTTGATTAAAAGCAATATAGCTTGGATGCTAAAATCTAAAACAAAATCAGAAGGTGGAAATATTCACCAGGTCAAGTAGTATCTGTGTAGAGAGAAACAGACCTCACATTTTCAGGTTATGGTAAAATAGCACAAGCTGAAATGTGAATTCTATTTCTCTCACTACAGATATTGCCAGACCTGCTGAATATTTGTAGGTGACTGATCAGGATTTCGCAAACTAAGTTGTTATTGCCAACAGGGTCACAGGACAAGGTTTTAGGCTTGCAAGCTTAGAGATTGCAATGGTGATGGAGCTGTAACTGAGTTTTTTGGCCTGTTTTTAAATGTTTCTTTTTGATCAATGGGCAAGCTATTTTCTGAGGATTGACTGTTGCTTCAACCACAGCCTGTAAAAAGATGAGCCTTTGCTTTGTTTTAGGGAAGACCCAGCAGTTTTTAAACAAGTCTGAACCCCCTCTGTCAACAACCTTCTGAACACCACCTTCCCTTCCCATTCCCAAAATTTCACTACGGAATCACAAGATGTCTGAGGCATTAAAATGGGCTCACGTAGGCATGATGGTTGAAAAGCACTGACTAGGCTAAAACTTAACGAGATAGGGGAAAGTTCCGAGTGTAAATGTTGACTGTAAAGAGTCGAATCAAGACCTGTAATTTGAGGTCTGGTATGTTTCCAGAATGTAGGATAGGATAGGATCCCTACAGTGTGGAAACAGGCCCTTTGGTCCAACAAGTCCACACTGACCCTCGGAGCATTGACACCCAGACCCATCCCCCTATTACCCACCTAACCTACACATCCCTGACACTACGGGCAACTTAGCATGGCCAATCCACCTACCCTGCACATCTTTTGACTGTGGGAGGAAACCGGAGCACCCGGAGGAAACCCCACACGGACACGAGAGAATGTGCAAACTCCACACAGACGGTCACCCGAGGGTGGAATCAAACCCAGGTCCCTGGTGCTGTGAGGCAGCAGTGCTAACCAATCAGCCACAGTGCCTCACTCGATCTCAATGTCACACTCCTGTGCTGTAAGATAACTTCACCAAATAGACTTGCTGTGATTTTTTTTAAGTGGGTTTGGCCCATTCTGAACTGATGATGCCAGTTTGGCCACCTGTGTAAAACTGGAATCACTTTGCACCAGCATTCAATTCTAAGGGCAAAAACTGTAAGTAAACATGTATTTAGACATGCATAATAAATCTATAATTCTAGCGATCATGTATTGAAGTGAAGGCCTCGTATGTCTAAGGCCACTGTGTTTTGCATTGTACATTTATATGTTGCTATTTATAATGAGCTTAAGTGTGCGTCCTTCCCAAACTTTCTCCCACTATGACCCCTGTTTCAAGGGTTGAAGATTGGTGTGACCTCTTGGTGAGGGGGTGGGGGAGAGGGGAAGGGAAGAGGTGGTGCAGATCTGAGAATTAATGGTGAGGGGGTGCGTACTGTCAGAGCAGGATTATGGCTGTTAGGAGCCAGTCAGAGCTTCGTTGAAGCCATTGTTGCCTCAGGTCATGACCCATAGATGTCAGCCGGTGATCCCACTTGGGTCCCCAATCCTGCTTTGGGACGCTCTGCCTTATTGGCTAACTGCAAGTAAAGATCGAAACAGACAGCGCATCAGGTTAAAGGTAATGGCTCTGCGTTTAATCCTCCCAACAGAATGCGTTGACTTACTTTAACGATTTCTGCTGTGGTTTCTTTACAGAAACACCAGTAAATTTTGCAACACGAAAAGCTACAGATTCTGAAATAAAATCAGAAAATTCCAAAAATATGTAGTCGCTCTGACAGCATCTTTTTAGAATGAACCCGTGTTTAAGTTTTCAAGGCAGTGACCTTTCATCAGAAGCAGTAAACGTTTTGATGTTTTCAGGTCGAGCACTTCTAAGATTGACAGACAAGAAATTGGAAAGGATGGGTATTGTCCAAGAAACTCAACGACAGCATGTCCTTCAGCAGGTCCTGCACCTGAGAGTCCGAGAGGAAGTTCGCAATTTACAGCTACTTACACAAGGTACAGATTACTGTGTTGGATAAAGCTATTTGGGCAAATCCATGTACATTAAAGGCTTCTGAAATATCAATAGCTGCCAGTCCTCCTTATCAGTAACCATCATTTTAACTCCTTTTGGAAAAAAATGGATGTTTTAAATCAAACTAAGAACTCTGAAATAGTACATCTAATTATTCTAAAGTCAAGATTAAGTAAAACTATTTATCTACGTCCCTGACTAGATGAGATTCAGTGCAATGTGCATTAATTAAAGAAACAAATTGAATTAAAAGATGCAACAATTATGCCCTTTGGTAAAACGTGATATGATTTTAATCTCTATATCCAATTTGTGTTTAACAAGAAACACAATTTCCGAAATGAGAAACCGTAAGGAATGGAAACATTTTGCTTAATTTTATAATTCTTCTCTGCCTGTTTTAATCCTTGTAAATCTTCTTTCCCTAACGTCACCTGGCTCTATGACCACTTTCTCCTCCCTCCACTCCTCAGCAGCAAATTCTGCATTCCTCCGACTCCAGCATTTTGATCATGGATAACACAGTGTGGAGCTGGAGGAACACAGCAGGCCAGGCAGCATCAGAGGAGCAGGAAAGCTGATGTTTCAGTTCGGGACCCTTCTTCACTGAAATGCCAACTTTCCTGCTCCTCTGATGCTGCCCGGCCTGCTGCGTTCCTCCAGCTCCACACTGTGTTATCTTTGATTCCAGCATCGGCAGTCCTTGCTATCTCTGAGCATTTTGATCATCCTCTCTTCTCATAGTACCGTGATCAGCCTTCCATTCAGCCACCTAGTTGCAGAGTTTTTGACCTTTCTATTTCTTTCTCTTCTCTCAAAACCCTCTTTAAAGCCAACATCTTTTTAAGTTGGGTCAAAATCCTGGAACTCCCTCCCAAATGGCATTGTGGGTCTATCCACAGCAGGAGGACTGCAGCAGTTCAGGAAGGCAGCTCACCACCACCTTCTCAAAGGCAACTAGGGATGGGCAAGAAATGCTGGCCAGCCAGCGATGTCCACATTCCATGAATGTGTTTTGAAAAATGTTGCCCCTACTATTGTCTCTTTTGGCTATTGTCCATTTTTAGCAGATTTACGTTGAAATTCTGTGAATTTCCCTTGGACGCTTTTTTTTAATGATGCAAAATAAATGAAAATGATTGTAGTTGTGAATTAACATTAATGTTTGGTGGCTGTTAGTAGCATTGTCATCTCTAAGTCACGCATGTGTCGAGGTTCGCATTCACTATGTGCCCTCAACTTCCTGATGGACTTGTGGTCAAAGGTGTTTTTCTTTGCAAGTTTCTCCATGAAGGACAGGTGACACGGAATGGTCCAACTGCTTGGAGCGTTCCACAGCAGTGAGGCCAGTCCCATTCTTCGCAACACTGAGGACAGGTAGAACCTCAGTACATAGTGTTTGTGTACTGAGGGTCTATGCACAGCTTGATACAAAGGTGGCCATCAGGTTAGGGCAGCATTGGGTACATTCATCGCTCCCGCGTTATCCAGAGCTTTATACAGGTGTCCCTGTGGACATGGTCCATCTGATACCCCCAGATGAAGTGCAAGATGGCTTGGGTGACTGCAATGGCACAGGTTCTGGGAATGGGCCAGACCTGCGCCATGTATAACAACAGAGAGAGAGTGCCTGATGACCAGGTTTTTACCCGCAATGGAGGGGGAGTGGTGCTCACAAAAGCCCAGTCTCTGCTTCACCTTGGCTGTGCACTCCTCCCAAATTTTTGCACATGCCCCAGGCCCTCCAAACCATATTCCCAACACCTTCAGGTAATCTGTCCTGACAGTGAAGGGGATAAAGGTTTAGTTGGCCCAGTTCCTAAAGAACATGGCCTCACTTTTGTCTTGATTTACCTTGGCTCCTAAGGCCAGTTCAAACTGATCACAGACACCCATGAGTCGGCACACTGACAGCGAGTCCGAGCAGAAACTGGCAACGTCATCCATGTACATGAAGACTTTGACCTGCAGGCCTCCGCTACCTAATACAGTCATCACTCTCAGGCTCACATCCTTCCCGATGGACTCAGCAAGAAGCTGAATATAGCACAAATAAGGCAGGAGAGAGTTGTCAGCTGTGCCTGACTCCAGCTCTGATCGGGAAGCTTTCTGATACCCACCCGTTGATTTGAGACTGCACTACTGATGCTGGTGTAGAACACTCAAATCCAGTTGCGGATTCTCTGCCCAAAGCCCATTCTGGAGAGCACATCCCACATGTATGTGAGCGATATCCTGTCAAAGGCCTTCTCCTGGTACAGGCTGATGAGGCAGGCATCTACCCCTGTCCTCCAAGTGGCCATTCCTATCCTTAAGGAGTACGAGGCTGTCGGACATCTTCCTGCCCGGTACAGCACAGGTTTGGTTGAGGTGAATCACCGATCCCAGAGCAGATCTGACATGGTTGACGATGACCATCGACAGGGTTTTGTAGTCTGCATTTAGCAGTGAAATTGGTCACCAATTTCTAATTACCTCCCTCTTCCCCCCACTTTCCTATTCTAAGAGAAATGCCGTCAGGAGTTCTCAACACCCCATTGGCAGGGCCACCCTTGGTAAGCTCAGAGGATAAGAAGCAGACAAAATGCAATCCATAACAAGTCCTGAACAGTGATTCAGGAGGAAGGTATTCATGTGCAATGGCGGATGAAGGCTGAATCAGTAAGGAGATGCCCAGTCCTCAAGTTTTCCTTGCCATTGGAACTGGATAAACCTTCTGTCAAGGACCATGTGTCTGCTGGTGTGCAACAGCATTCTCATGTTAAAAGATGTCCCGATTAATGTGTCTAACTATTGGGATTCAGAAGCATTCTGTGAACATGGGTAACTCCAAGCAGGTGAGCTAAGTGAAGAAGTGTTTAGGGTATGTTGGGGTAGGTTGGAGAAATCTAGTTGTTACGGGGACGAATAGGGCAGGTGGGGAGAGTAGGTGTTGGGTTTTGAGGGGTGGAATGGGTGGGGGGGCGTGGTGCAGGAATGGGTGTTCGGGTCCGTTAGCTGGAGGTTGGTTCAGGTCTAGTCCAGAAGCTGAGAGGTTGGGGTTTGGCTCTGGACCAGTGGCAGTGGAGGCGGGAGAGTTGGGTCCAGTGGCGAGGGTTGGGGAGGCGTTGGAATCCGGGAGGAAGGGGGTTTGGGTTGGGCCCAATACCGGTGGGGACAAGGTGAGTCCATTATGAGGGGGCAAGAGGTTTCAGGTCACACGTGGGGTATGTAAATGTTTTGGGGGAAGTGTAGTTGGATGTGTGTGAGGCAAGTATGGGACCTGTTACATAGTTACTAAGGAGTGAGACTATGTAGTCAATAGTTTGACTTTTCCTGAGTAATTATTTTATTCAAATTCATTAGAACCATTTCAAAGACTCCAATTTTTTTTAAAATGTTGGCTTTTGGAAGATTCCAGAGCATACAAGAACAGCCCAGTGTAATCTTTCATTTCCTGGGCAATTCCTTCAAATTGTGGTACAATGGGAATTCCACAGGGTTCCTGTGTGCAGCTCCCATCTACACTGGAATAACAATCGTTTGGCCAGTACAAAATCTAGGCCAGCATTCTCTTAATAGTTAACATCTGAAGTGTGTCGGGAAAAATAAACCAACAGTGGTCATGTGTGAAATTGTCACGTTATGAAATAAGACTTTTCAGAATATGAAATTGTCATTAATGTGATGCTTTTTGTTGGCATGAAAATTGTACTTTGAGTTATAACAAGGTGTCAGTGCGTATTGTCCTTTTGAAGCGCAGCCATAAAGTGTATTGTTAAGTTTCTCTTATGATTTATTTCGGGTAAAGAGTTTTGAAATATCCTTTTTTTTTGTTCATTTTAAGCAAATAACGTATAGTTGAGATAAGACATAGTAGTACTGTTGGGAGAGAAAGGGTTATGGTATTATCCCGTGGTGTTTACTGAATGAAAACGAATTATCCAATGCATACGTTTGAAAATTCCAAAATATTTGATCAGGTTCATAATTAAATTGCTTTCAAAATAGTGTTTGTGTACTTTCCGCCATGTTTTACACTTGGGCTGATTTCAATAACAGTGCATACGTTCAATCCTAATTTTCATATTTCAGTAATTTCTGCTGGGCATTCACAAATCTGGTCTGCCTTGTGTTTTTAGCGCACACACAATCAATACTTCAGCACACTCCCTTCATAAGATCTGAAAGACAATAGCATTCCCTTATTTCCCCATTGATTGATTGATTGTTTGCTGCAGAATATTTCTACAGGTAGTTAGTGCCTTACATAGCTCAACAAAATAGCCATTTTCCTCTGGGCTGCTTCTAGTTGTATATTGGTTGTCTACTTGATTATTTGAAATCCCAAGCCTAAACTATCCAAAGATATGCACTCCCAGGCAGTAGCGATTTATGAGCACAAACACTGGTAAGTTTCCAGTCCATGTCACATTGTTGTTTGGCCCACTTATGTAGCATGTTTACCACAGTCTTGCCAAAGATGAGTTGGATAAGGAGGCGATGTTGGATAGGCTATTGAGACTAAAAGTTAACAAAGCATCAGGAGCAGATGAGGTGAATCCAAGCATAATGAAGGAAATGAGGTTGGAAATTGCAGAGGCAATGGCCATAATCTTTCAGCCTTTCCTAAACTCAGGGGAGATGCCAGAAAACTGGAGAATTATAGATCTTATGCCCTTGTTCAAAAACAATGGTAAGGATAATGTGAGAAATGATAAACAGACATTTGATGGGAAAGGACAGAGCATACAGATCTAAGAGCAAATCAGATAAGACTGAAATCCATAAAAGTAATAAAAGGACAAAAATGAAGGCATCTGAAACAACAGAGTAATTAATAGTACAAATTAAGATAAATAGGTGCAATCTGTGGCCATTACTGAGACTTGGCTGCAGGATGATCTACTCAGAGATAGTAGGAACTGCCGATGCTGGAGTCTGAGATAACACA